TCATGAAAGTTTTTTTTTGTCAAACAGGACCCCCTCCAGTTACAGAAAAATCTGGTCTGAAAGGTAAAATAAAAATGCAATAAACCTAATACATTATTTAATTAGAAAAGCTTGATTTTATATATATATATATATATATATATATATATATGATGGACTCTCCCGTCGTTTTTGATGTATGAGTGTCCTTCAGTTCATTTTTTATGTTTATATTTCATATGAGACAACAATCCTGCATGGGATTTGCAAACAAATCCACACAAGGGTTTTGCTGAAGGGTTGACTGTCATATGGGCTGATGTATTGGCCCCAAATTTAATGTTGGTTCTTAATTCTCTCAGATGGATAAGACAATTCTTTTCAAAGTTAGTTATACCTATGTGGCAGGAATTTCTCCAGTTTGCTCATATATATATATATATATATATATATATATATATATATATATATATACACACACACACAGAGGAAAGATTTTTTTGACAAATTTTTACAAGAATTGTCTTCAGTTTTTTAAACTTTTAATAAGTACAATTTATAAACTTTTAAATCTTTTAAAATTCTGTATTAATATGCAGTCAAGTGATTTTGTTATTAAATTAAGACTATTAATCATAAATGAAAAAGCTCATTACACTTCAATGACCCCCAATATTTTAAAATGAGTTTTGAATTTATTTTATATGAGTATAAATGTGGCAATTTTTGTAAATACAAAGGTCCAAACATAATATTATCAGAAAATAAGAGTAAGCACAGTAAGTAAGTATAGTAAAGTTAAAATTTATTGGTAATTTTTTAACATTTCCTCAACAATCTTTTCTTGTTAAACTATAAAGCCAATGTACCTAAAACTCATTAAAATAGAAATTTTCTTAAATTTTTAAGATTACTGATTACTTAAAACAAATTATATAAAAAAGGATTCCTGTTATGTTTGCCAATTAATTTTTACAGGTATGTCTTCCTTAAAAATATTCCCAAACATCAGTCAACACCTAAAAATACCTGCCACAATGTTAAAAAATGCTTTTCTGCAATATTTTGAACTAAAAGTAGGTAATATTTGTTTTGAAATCAGATTAATTAAACTTCAAATCAGCTAATCTTCCTCAAATAAAGTTTCAGAAATGTATGTTTTATTTTCAAAAGATTTTTTTAATAAAGTGAATTACATTGTGTTGACAGATTTGACAATATGGATGATTTTAGTGATTTTATTGATAATAAAAAATATCATTCCAATTTGAAATACAGGAAATTATTGAAAATATTAAATTTACTCTATTAGCTTGAAATTAAAACTAAGATAAAAACTTCAAGAAAGATTTTTCATTTTTAAACATACATTTTAAACTTTAGGTATCACTTTTCTTTGGAGGTACCATGTTACAATCAAATTTATAAATTAGACATGAAATTGACAATATTAACTCATAATAGTGCAATTGCAATAATATACTGTAATAGAAAGTTTGTTTTTAATGTAGTTCTGAGTAACATCAGCATATGATTTTTTTTCTTTCCTTATCAAATTGAAAACTCATCTTTGCATTTAAAGAAAGCACTTCACAGCTTTATATAGGAATTACAGGCATCATTACTCTTCTGTTTTAGATCCATTATTCAGTAAGACTAATGAATTATTTGGATGTGTAGGTGGTGTAACAGATATCGACATGAAAAAAGTAGAATTGGCAAAATGAGTTCAAATTCTGGGCTAGTATGTTGCATTCACTTTTGCACTAATACCTTTAGAAAAAGCATGAATCCATCTCTTCTGCCACCCAGCTATAGATTAAATAGTAATGTAGACTAGGCTATATATCCTTAGGTGGCAACCAGTCTAACAGAAGGAAAACTTTGAATTTCAAACCATGGATAAAGTTGATGGGAAACCACTCTACTATCTTGAGCAAGAATTGATGGCAATTCATAGACAATAAAGAAAAGTAATCTATAGACACTTATGATCCCTTATGATATCTGGAAGGAATGTGGTATTTTTATTTTTAATTTATTATTTCTGGGATTGAAAGAATGGAATCATCATTATTCATGTAATTTGGAACCATCATTAAATAAAACTTTTGAATTCTTTATTTCTAAGGTTGATTGAAACTGATGAAATTCAAATCTCTTGTTGGAGGAAGCCTTCTCTGATTGATCTCCACCACTTCCTATCTCTGGCTTTACTCATCCGAGGTATCAGGTCAGATCATCTTGCCTTTGGCCAACCTTGAATTCTTTCACACTGCCTTGGTGTCCATTGTTACTTAATAGTTCACATGTTATCTCTGAGACAAGAGATGTCCCCACCTCATCTCCATTTCCCTTTTTTGATGGTCTTGATTAGGTACTTCATTCCAGTTTCACGAAAATGCCCCAAACAGAAAAGAAGCAAATGAAATTGAATAAGTCTATTAAAGTCTGCCTTAATCAATTTCATATATGAGTGGAAAGTCAAAATGTTTAGCTCAAGTTCTATTTCACACAAAGCTTCTTTTCAATCAGGTACTCAGTGACCATTGTTTTTTTATTGCTTCCTATTTCTGCAACAGGTGTCACAATCTGTGTTATACACTAGTTTTCTGTTAAAGTTCATATTGATAAATATGATTTAAAGAATCCAAATTCATTACTTATGCAGACAAAGTAGAAAAGAATAAAAACTTGATGGATTAGATAGAACAAAAATGAAGACCATTTTGATCCATTGAGAGAATTCTTGAAAAATATGCAGCAGAACATTGATGTCTGCTCTTTTATTTCTCAAAATCAATAAAAAAAAATGATCAGTCTCATTAATACATAGCTGATGAACATGGTAGACAGAAGGTGATCAGAAAAAAGATGCAAAGTCAGGTATTTCATGAGAATTACTTATTCAATATGATGGACAATTGTTGATGAAGAACAAGATGAGTTGAGATGAAAACAGAATCAAGTAAAATCTCTTTCAAAGAAATGATTGTGAATTAAATGAGGACTCGAACCGTTTGTGTTCCCTTGAGCGATAAACAGCAAAAAAAAAAAAAAAATTGATGAAGATGACAATTTTATAAAATGTTGTTTCAAATAAATATATTTAAACACAATAGCAGAAGTGGATATCATATATATATATATATATATATATATATATATATATATATATATATATATATATATATATATATATGATATCCGCTCCAAAAAATTCGCTTTAGGATGAAATGGAACTGATGTTTTTAATTTAATTACAAAATTAAATTCAAAGCTTTTAGCTTCCATTTTTGAAACATGGTTATTACTGTGTAGCAAAAAATCCATATTTTAAATAATTTAATTTATAATATTAATGCTCTGTAAATTTACACTATTTTGTAAAAAAATAAAAATATCAATGAGAACACCAGATTATATATCTTACTGTTATTTATATATATATATATATATATATATATATATATATATATATATATAGTTTGCCAAAAAATGTCTACACAATTTAGGAAAATAAAAACTTTCATGATTTCAACAAACTGTGATAACACTGTTTACTGTTGTACAATATTTTCTCAACAGATGGGTGTAGCATCAAAAAATGATTGAATGTGCAGCAATTCCACTGGATACATTGGATAATGTTGTCCAAATAGTAGTTTGTCATACTAATAAATGTCTGGAAACTAAAGGCCACAATTTAAAGAATCTCTTGTGAGTATAGAATCCAAAGATAAATTGTATTAATCTTGTTATGATTGAATAAATTTAGTATTACAAAATCTATACACGTTTGTCCTTTCTTGAACTGAGTATAAATTTTTTACAGACTGTGTGTGTGTGTTTATATATATATATATAATTGTTTGGAGAATCATTGACTCATTCTGGATGGCTTATTTTTTTCTTCTGTCTGATGTCTTCTTGTAAGATCTTATTTAAAGAAACCATCCCTTCAGTAATTTAATTCCAACAATTTATTTACTTCAACAAAGTGTAGGACAAAAGACGCCTTGAGTTTTATTTTTTCCAATTTTAATTGAGATTATATTTATGGTATGATCCCTATTTTAAAATTGGTCTTATTGTAATGTGTTGGGACTAGTTTGATGCATTACATTGCATCTAGACATACAGTTTTGTTGTTAATATTCCAGTCTCTCATGTGGTACGACATCATAGTACTGCATCATGAATTTAAAACCTGCATCTGAAATTCCATGACCATTAACATGGTATAGCAATCTTCTATGTTAACATGACAGAATATACTCTTTGATGGTGAATATCTTTGTTTAAAAGTCTATATAACCACATTGAAGATGACTCACATGACCCAAAAGCTGAGATTGAGGAATAGCATAATAAAAAAATATTCAAATGTTGAAAAATTTTTGTCTTTATTTTCAGCTGAAATTAAAGCAACCATATGAAGTTTAGAATTATATCCTTAAAGAAGGTTACAAACAGACAAAGGTTGTACTTAAGTGAAAGAAACAGCAACATAGGCATTGATGAAAGAAAGAGAGGTTTATTGAAAAAGAGAATACACTACTGAAAAACAGGGAACCGGTTAGCAAGCTAGTAATTCCTGAAGCAAGTCCACCAGGTATATCCTGTGCTTACTATATATATCTACTAATATAGTCAGTCCACATAAGTGATAGGGAGTGAGGGACATTCCATTACAAGAATGGCACATGATCAAACATAATAGACAGTTGTTGTCTGTTATATTTAACAATATATGTTTGAATAATGATCTGCTGCATCGATACATTATATATATATATATATATATATATATATATATATATATATCTGTGTGCGTGTGTGTGTGTACTCTCTTCTGCTATTTTATTTATATATACATATCCTTCCTCTCCTTCATGCACAGGTGTAGTTAAATCAATGTAAATATCACTTTAATCTGATGCATTCCTAAAGGACAAAACATATCACTCAATTTTTTTCCCGCTCTCTCATTAGTTTTCCTAATATTTGTTATGTAGATGATGGCCATATCATGTTGAAATATTAGTTCTCATCTGATCACAGAATTTAAGCAATTTCAAGCCTGTTCAGCACTTAGATGGGTAACCATTTAGGAATACCAGGTGATGGAAGCTCCTACCAACCCACATTGAGCCAGTACATGAATGACAAAGGTGAACAGCCTACATCCAAGAAAGGACTTCAAGAAGCTGGTTAAGATATGCTGTCTAATGTTGTCATTGTAAAAACTAATAAGACTATGAAACTAAATCTCTCCTGTGTAAAATTATAGTTTATTCAATTTTGAACCTTTTCATAATTACTATTAGCATTAGGTCTTGGTGTCTTTCTTTGAATGTGAATCTTCTCACAAGGATATGAGAGAACCTCTGATGTTTACCTCTTGGGTGGGATGCTTATATAACTTCCTGTTATCTGTTTGTTTCATATGCGCACATTTCAAGCTCAGATGAACTGACCATCTTTTTTCCGTGTCAGGGGCAGCACTGATATTTTTTAAGCTCAATTCTGCACCTGATGGCTATGGATCCCTTTCCAAGTCTACCCTCTGATGCACCTGGCTGCTCTGACATTATATTATGTCACAAGTGAAAAGCCTACTTTGGTATCTCTTAGATACCAAAGTAAGCTTAGAGTGAACCCAGTACATATTGGGAGCATCACAGATCAACCCCGCTTAGAACAAAGTTTCCTTATTGACATTAAATTTTATCTTGACCTCTGGTATTTCCTATCATTAATCACCTAATATATATATATATATATAGCATAATGAGAAGCCACATATACTTTCTTAATATATATATATAGAAAAAGTTGCAAGTTGTATTTAATTTAAATACATATAAACTAGGGTTGAATAAAGACTTGGGTATTTTAAATCTTTATAAATATTTCAATAGTTAAATATTTTTTTTAGATATAGTTAATTTTTTTTTTTTTAAACAACATCTAAAATATTATTACAGTTAGATTTACGTTAGGAATATTCAAACACAGTGGCGTTCCATATCACGTGACGTCCGCGTCTCGCTATGGACGCTACTTGTAAACAAACAGTAATTTTAATTTATTTGTAACAAACAGTTATTTCTGAAGAAAGATTGAGGTCAATCTGAAATATCATATATATATATAAATAAATAAATACTTTCATAAAAAACATTATTATTTTTTTTAATTTGCAACCTTTTTCTATATATATATATATATATATATATATATATATATATATATATATATATATAAAACCCCATAGTCAGATTCTTGGGACAACTTTAACTAAACTCTGCAAATGAAAACAAACAGGATACTCTTAACAAATGAAACTTTCAGAACAATATTCCTTTTTTTGCAACTATTAATGACTTAATGTGAAGAACTGCTTCTTATAGCCTTCATTCTCAAAAGAACCAAAAACTACCCATTATCTTTCCTTCAACATAATAAGCACATGAAAAAACATCTTTTGAAAAGCCTTTGTTCTCTTCAATTCATAAAACAGAATAAATGGATGCATAATGCTGAAAAACACTGTAGACATTGCAAGCAAACAGAATTGTATTTTGCAAGAACAAAAAAAGACACTAGTAAGTAATGACTTGACATTTGCACTAAAGGCAAACTATGGGGAAAGCTTTATTTTGTTCAAGAAATTTATCTTATTCGTGACCGTGATAAAGAAGGGAATGTATGCGCAAACAGACATAATATTATTTATGACATATCATCTGATAACAGAGAAAGAAAATATGCAGATCAATAGAGAGTAAAACAAGCTAGAGAAGCCAAAAAAAAAACACAAAACGATCAATAAATTATGATTATCAGTTTATCTAAAATGATTTAAGAGTATGTTGATGAAAACATGAAAGAGGAAGTACAAGAAATACAGTCTTGTTTACAACTACTATGGATTAAGTAATCAGTCCAAAGTCATCACCCAAATATGCCTACCACAAAGTTTACAAGCTTTACTTACTGTAGCTATTTTTATCACAACTGTTCTTACCAATGAACTATCAAGTAATAATATACAGTAAACTACTAATAAAATAAGGCTACTAATTTCATATTCAACACAAAACAAAAGGCTCATTAAATATTTCAAAATAAAACAATGAATCATTCCTGAAAATCCAACGAAATAAGATAGATTACTCTACCCACCAACTCTGTCACAACTAAAGAGTGTTCCAATAACTTGGACTGATTTTAAGTGTGAATTAAGTTTAAGCATCTAATGGTTTTTTTCTTTTTCTTTCAGATCTGGTGGACATCTGGGCAATATTGTTTTTCACACATAATTGCCATGACTTAAATAACATGAGCCAGTAGAGAGATAAATAAATTTTCACAAATAACACTGATTTATTATTGCTGACATTGATCCATCTTAATAAAACACCCTTATATATAATCTGTCTTAATGAAACACCCTTTACAACTGAAAAGAATTTAAAACAAAATATTACAACTACTTCTAAAACAATAAAAGACTTAATACAAAACAAAATAATAAGCTAAAACTTAAAGGATGAATTTAATCAAACACCTGTAATGGCTGCCACAAAGAATACATAGGAGAAACTTCAAGTAATTTAAATAAAAGATTATATGTACACAAAAGGGATCTTTTTCAAAACAACACACTCATTGCATTAGTTGTTAACCATAATAAATCAGACCATAACTTTGATTTAATAGAATGCTGCTTTAATTAAGAGAGAAAGTAATTTACTAAGGCAAAGGGGTATAGAATATGCTTTGATCACTAGATCATCCATGGTAAATTTATGTCCAGATTCACATATCATTTAATGTTTCTTGACAGATCTTCTATTATAACAATGTGGGAGATGTAATAATAAAAGTGGTAAAAACAAAAGCATAAAGAAACTAAAGGACATCAGTGAGACTATAAGCCCAATTTACAATCTCAGAGTTCTAACATCTTCATTGTCTCCTATCAGTACATAATTTTAACAAATGTTTGCAGTTTTATATATCCCCCCTCTCCTTCGTATACATATATCATTTTTACCACTTTGTCATTCATTTGCTTGTAATAATAATTACAGTACTTTATCTTGAACCCTATTATTATTAAATCGAAAGTACTTGGCTGCCTGGCAAGGAATTTGGGCAATGATGTGATAATGGTGTGGAAATTATATCGCTTTCCAAGATAGAGAATACCACATAATAATACTCTGAGTGTAAGGAAGAGCAGGAGGTAAAGTTCTTGGGCTATACAGAAGAGCAAACTCTAGGCTAAGAGAGGTCAAGGTTTTAGTAACTGAGAAACCATCTTGGTGGCAATTTGTTCCACAAAGTATCAGTTCTTGAGGAGAAGCTGACTCAAAGGTATGAATATTATGTTTAAGTATCAAACAGACTGCTGCCACTCTGTGTTAACCTTAGTATCCACTTTTATATTTACTTATGTTCTATCCCCAATTTTGAGCACATTTACCCATAAATATAGCATACTTTGAAACTATATTTTCATCATATCTAAAAGTACTCGAACTTGACTAGTCAAAAACTTAGTGGAATTCATGCACATATTGACCAGCACATCACAAATGACCAAAGTACAGCTATCAACGTAAGACAAATATCAGTGGATAATACCAAAATATTTTACAGCACACAATGTAAAGACAAATAAACAACCCATATCTTTCACCAAAGGAAACAGTATCTTGAAGTGTGTATAAAATATTCTAAGATTTCAAGAAGAGGAATGTGATTTGGATTCTAAAGGCAACTAATACCAGAAAGTAAACATGTATTTAGAGAAAGGAAATATTATTAGAAACATAAAAATAGTGCTGAACTGTTATGTTGTTATGTAGATTCTCTTATATGGCATTGAATACTTGACAATTTCTTCACAGATGAAGAGAAGACTGAAACCAACATAGATGTGATGCTGAAAATTCCATGTATGGAGAATGGGATTAACAAAGAAATTGGGCAAATATGTACCTTCATACCCACAATAAGACAGAGTGTAATAAGAACGGTTTTTCTTGGGGTTCCACTTTCATTTTAACTACTGCTACTCTCCAGCAATGTTTAGAATTGGAATAAAATCTAAACATGATGAAAATGAAATTATACCTTTTCTTTGTTCTTTAGAATTTACAACAAAATTATTAAATACTTTTTTATTAGATTGTTTATTCACATGAATAATTTTATCTTTAAAACATTCTAAAGACTAGCACAATTAGAACTAATGCAATGCAATATTAATAATCACTTATGAATTTATAAAGAAATAAATATGAAAATGATTTTTATTCATAAATCAATAAATATTTACTAAATTATTAAAATATGTGAAGCAACTGTAATGGAATGTTTATTATTTACCATTTTATAAAGTTTGAATCAGTGAAAGTTATCCAATATTTCCAAGAAACAATATAATAAAATAAAGTGTCAATAAACAATGTAATAAATAATGTTTATTATTTTTGTTGCCAATTCTCAAGAACAAAGAAATTACATAACTGAGTTTCATATGTTTAAGTTTTATTGCAATTCTAATCATCACTTTTTAAAACAATAAACATTAACAAAGAGTGGAGGTAGTTAAAATAACAGTGGTGTCAATGGAAAAACCATCCGTTTTACTGTCTGATTTCTTTTTTTTTTTTTTTGAGCATGAAGATTCAATTATATATACCAGTTTATGGGAAAAAAAGGACATATTCATCTGAATTTTTTTATTTCTATAATATTAGAGATGAAAGTGTTATACCGGAATGTACCTAGTTCAATTGTAAATAGACTCTCCCACAGATAAGTAGTAGTAGTAGCAGTTGCCAGGGGAGCTGAGTGAGTTGTGTGAGTCAGTTGATGTCGGACATTAATGTATGAGCTCCACAACTAGATTGCTGCGTCATTAACTATTATTTCAAGTTCCTAACATTTTGTACGTCGAACCTAATTTAGAACCGACTTAGTGAAATACAAGCCTCCACTGTGAAAATTACTCTACAACAGAAAGTGACTCTGAAAAACATACAGTGTTTATGTTGCTGGACTTGAAAAATCTTTTTAGTTTATATTACTGAAATTTCAATATTTATCTTCA